CTTATTTACAGCTGCCCAAAGCTGTCTGGTAGCTTTTAAAAAATACAGACTGAGACTAAGTGCTTTCGTCAGGAAGCCAGTGCCTTAACTGCTGTTTTTATAAATCAGGCATACAAGTCCTGTGAAAAGATGCTTGGCTCTTTGCTTCCTACGGTGCTATGCTCCCAGCTGCTACAGTTCAGGAGAGATCCATGTTCCAGTAAAGAGATCTATAAGGCTGGCAGTCTCTGCAGGCAGGTCCGTCTGCTGTGTGGAAGTTGTTATTCCTTTAGATGGAAAGGCTACATGTGGTGCTTACCCAGCGATCAAACTCTAATTACAGCTTCCTGCAATTTACAGCCTAATGTAAAGAATGAACATTGGGCAAATTTGTCAGCCCCTGTGGCACAGATGACAGAAAAGGCTCACTCTTCAAGGCAATGCCCTTGAACTAACACGGTGTGATTTTCCAACACTGGTTTCTGCTGAGCTGCAAGCTGAGTCTCCCAAAGTTCCCTTTTTCCTAAGTGGACATGGGAATGTGTCCCAGCTCAGAGCCGGGGCAAATGTGTGCCTTGGAGGTCAGGGAAAGCCGAGGAGGGAGGCTGTGCTCAGCTATCATCTCAAGCAGCTTATCCAGAGGTTTGGCAGAGCCCTGGATCCACCTGAACTGATGATGACAAATGACCTGTGGGATGAAACTGGCACTTGGGGCCAGCAGAGTAAGCTGCTTTGGCTATTTTGTTTAGTGCCTAAGAGTGAAGTTTGAAATCACAAAAGGAGCCCAGGGTAAGTGACCAGAATGAGGGCTGATTGATTGGAAGTCAGAGAAACCTGAATGATGTGGAAAATGACTTCAGAGAGGTGCTCTATCACTTTGGTTTTATAGTTTGGCATCACAGTGAAAAAAACGGGACAGACCTCGTCGTGTGGGGTGGTGCTCTATCACTTTGGTTTTATAGTTTGGCATCACAGTGAAAAAAACGGGACAGACCTCGTTGTGTGGGGTGAAGAATGGCTTGGATGAGAATAAGAATTATTCAAATTCCAGAAAGATAGTGAGATCAAAGGCACCAACCAGAGCCCTAGGGAAGTTGGAGACGTTTTCAGAAATAGGCCCACGTCCAGGGACATTTTGATGAAGACCGTGCTCTCATGGGTCCCCAGAATGCTGAGGGTGAGGTGGGCATGACCAGATGCAGTGCATGAGGACAGCATTGG